ACCCCCCCCCCCCAATCCCCCCTTGACATTTAAAAAAAACAACATTATAGGCCTAATGACATTGTGCGATATGAGCAGCTGTCTAAGTCTAAGCTAACCACTTTTCTCCTCGACGATGGGTGACCGTCTTAGACATTTCAGTTGTACATTGATCACCTGCACGTTGTTAAAGTAAAGAAATGCTGTTACAGGACGGTGTCCCTTGTATTAAGCGTGTTAGTTTGTCAAAGTCTGAGTTTGCATGAGAAACATGACTAAATAGTGCAGGGAAAAGGGTAAACAAACAAAGATAGTATTTGGAAAGATAAAAAAACCCAGAGATTACAAATGGAAAGAAAAGAAAACAAACAGTTAGAAACTAGATGGAAAGGAAGAGAAAGAAAGGAAGACTTACAGACAAACAGAAACAGTAAAAGGAAAGAAAGGAAGAAAGACAGACAAACAGAAAAACGTACATGATGGAAAGAAAGGAGGGAGAATTACTAGGTCGATCTATTGACTGCAAACCACTCACATCGTCCAAAGTGAACCATAACTGTTGACCCCCTCCCCCCCCCCCCACCAGAAACCATAAAGACACTCAAACATGACTGCCATCTTTTCTTGGTGTTAATAAAATAGTACAACGGTCTTGGCGCCTTTTAGACCTGCGCCTGTGGTGAGGCGATTAGGCATTTTGTCATTATCTGCAGAAGAGTCCGTTTCCCTTGTGGGGAGATTTTAAAAAAAAATCAAGAGTGTCTTTTTGTTGGAACATTGTGTCTGTTTCATCCTAAGTTGGTCATTGCAAGGCTGAGTTGAGGCAGCCGGCCTCCTAAATTATCTAAATTGTGTGGATGAGGGCATAAAACACCTAGGATTACTTTAAATTAAATAATATATTATGCAAATGTATATTCAGAGGCTTATGTGCAATTTTATATAATGTGCACATCATATACATGTAGGTAATTTTTATACTCTAATTGCATAAAAATCCCTCATAACCCAACGATGTCTTGTTGTTGTTGTTTTTTTTATGTGAGCAAAAGTAAGGACAAAAGTGAAATGCAGTCTAACAACACACACATAAAGAAACACACACAGCGCAATTCACACATAATAGGGAATTACACACAATGTGAAATACACACATATAGCAAGGCATACTCATAGCAAAACATACAATGCGAAACACGTGCATTTAAAAAGAAGCTTGCATACAGCAAATCAGATTTTCAGGGTCCAGATTTGTTAATACACATGTGTGTATTCTAGCTATAGGATGTTTTAGCGAAATTCATACGAAAAGATTTCCACATCACATTGATTTTGCTATGTGGGTGTTAGACTGTAGAGATGTGTATTAAGTTCTCGCGTACGAAGATTTAGCACGGCACTTGCAACGTTTCACTTGGATCAGCAGAATGAAAAGTAAGTGAAAAGTATCTTTTCTTACCATGTATGGTGTTCTCCTTATTTACTTATTGAAATTAGAGTTTATGTTAGAGTACCATGAATATATTAAGATACTCAGGTCTCCACTTATCCATTGCTTTTTTTGTTATCGTGCTAACAACAACAACAACAACAACAACAACAATAACAACAACAACAACTACTACTACTACAACAACAACAACGACGACGACGACGACGACGATGATGATGATGATGATGATGATGATGATGATGATGATGATGATGATGATGATTTTTTGTTTGTTTCCTTAATGGGCCTGGAGGACTCCACGAAGAAATCTTCGAGCGAGAGCGAGGCTCTTTTTCGGCTCCATTGTCAATATGCTTAGTGGCACCTCCACTCGTCCAAATAACTCCATTCGAATTGCCATTGTTCCTGGACATTCAAACATATTATGTTTGACATCCTCCTTTTCAAGGCCGTATCTTCGGCAACGTGGGCTGAGATCTTCATTTACAAAGTTCTTATACCGGTACCATCTTAAGCTCCAATGATGGTCCGACTGCAGTCTCGCTAGCCCAACCTACATGGTCCCAGCGACATGTGATATTTTGTTCCCGCTTATAGGAGTACCCAGAATACACACCTTCCAGGTGCTGGTACTTAGCTCTGCATGGTGGGTCTCTGATTTCCCTCTTGATCATTAGTGATGATGATGATGATGATGATGATGATGATGATGATGATGATGATGATGATGATGATGATGATGATGATGATGATGATGATGATCATTTCATCATTGCATTTATGTTTGTCATTTTTTAACATGCATTAAAACTATCCGGCTTTTTAAATTCATTTATCTACAGCTTTTACTGCTGGTATAAACACAAATGTCTAAGAAAGATCTGTTGGCATGGTGAACAAAATATCGGCGTCATATTTCAGGACACTCAGTGAAGTCATGCAGAAATCTCGAGATAGTATTGATGGGACAATATCTACATCTATTTTTGTAGGCCTGTATCATTATTGACCTGATTTATTTTCAATGTTATATGTTTAATAAGTGTAAGCAAGTGGATGGGTTTAACGCACCTACCAACACTATATATAAGGAGCGGGCCTTCCGAATTCAACAAAGTACTTGTCCGACAATGCCCAGCCAAATGCGTTGAGAGCCTTGAAAACTCCACGAAACGACTCGAGTGCAAGAACGCTCCTTATACTTTACTTTTCCGATCCAGCGGCCATTTGGGTTCTAGCCCTTCGGTCTGTCGATATGGCAAAGAATTGACAGGTTTTAATCAGCTGTGCTTTGTCGCTGTATAGAGTGT